AGCAGGCTATACTTCATTAGTGAGTTGTTATATTATTAATTTATTCTAGATCTGTGTAAGACGGTAATTAATTCTTTATGTTATTGTCATTAAGTGGGCAATGAGTCACAAAACAAATAATCAAAACAACAGTGTCTTTGCCCCCGGGTGATGAGAACTCTTGCTACGCCACTATGTAGAAGATGTGTTCGCGTTCAAACCTGGCCCTGTTAAAGTTATTATGTTTTTCTATTGAAAACCAAGTTTGGATACAGAGTTTTAACCAATAAAAATCTTTATTATGCAAAGAAAATACAATCCAAATCAAATTTAAACACTTGGACAAGTGCTTGTAGTCAGCTGGAGAGAAAGTTTTATTTGTGCTCTCTCATCTGTGGCCCCGGCATGGCCAAGTGGTCAGGGCGCTCGACTCGCAATCTGCGAATCCCCATCACACCAAACATGCTCGCCCTTTAAGCCGTGGAGGCGTTATAATGTAACGGCCAATCCCACTATTCGTTGGTAAAAGTGTAGGCCAAGAGTTGGCGGTGGGTGGTGATGACTAGCTGCCTTTCCTCTAGTCTTACACTGCTAAATTATGGAAGGCTAGCGCAGATAGCCCTCGTGTATTTTTGCGCGAAATCCATAACAAACAAACAAACTCTAATCTGTGTAATTATTTTATTTCACTAATACTAGAACTAAAAGCTATGATAAAACGATCTAGGTCACAAGGCAATGAAATCCATAGCAAAAGCGTAGTATAGCAAAAATATGAGGATTTCTGTTTGTCTAGTAATCTCAGTAAGTCTGGAATCTATAATGCTTTTCTCAGTCTTAAAAATCTGTATGAAATCTCTCTAAGGCTTGCAAAACAAAGGTAAACAGACCGTTACATATTCATATATAATACTTATACGTTTTTAGAAATACTATAGTGTTTTCTTCCACATAATGTTAAAAATAAGTAAATAAATAATAATGTGTTATTAATCTTTATCCTGATTGTGCTTTATAAATGACTTAAATAAAATTGGTAATAATTAGAATTCACTGGTATTGGCCAAAAAAACACCTTTCATCACTTGATATGATAGGTCTGGTATGATTGACATATTTTATATATTCTTCTTTGGTTTCACTGATAAGTTCTTCGAATTGTATACAAAATTCTCTCTCCTCAGGCACACATGCTGTTCACCTGACCAAGAGTCAGGGTGGATTATACACCTAGGCAATCTTATGACTCGCCAGTTATAAGAGACCACTGCTTCTATTCATAGTATAGTTTACATTACAGTGATTGATACCTTCTAACGGAAAAACACATGTAATGACCTTGGCGACCCCGGCAACCTCCTGAATAAGCAAGATAAGATGTACTTAGAGGTTTTCTTGACTGATTTTCTTTACTAAAAATAGACGCACAACACTGAAAATTTGGAAGACTGTCTAGTAGCTAAGGGTGGAAAACCCAAATATACCCTTTAATCACACTCGTATCTAAGAAGAGTCTAGTGTAAGTGAAGTGTCGATGTTAATGAATACTCGTGGTCAAAAGATAAAGACTGGTGCTTGTACAGTGGTTATCCTTTTTCAGTTATTTGTATAGGAATCAGTACGTTTAGTTTCACCATCTTTTCTTGCCTACTTAACCCGAACTCTGTTTGTGTAACAATCAGACTGCAGTGAAGGGAATATGCATGTGTTACAACGTAGCTGTATAGATGTTGCCATGGTAATGATGAACGATAACAGTGAGCAGAACAGTTAAGCTTAGGTCAGGCACGTGACCTGATAAAACCTGGAAGACCAAGTGCAAATGATAATTTGTCTATTGATAATATTTACGGAAGTTCGTGTAAAGCCTGTAGAAATGTCGTTTGACTAGCGCATTAGTTTCATATCCTATATCTAAAAACAGTTTTAGGTTACAAATTTGTTATGAACTGGGCCGTTACAACTTTAAAACCTACACTCTTAGCTGAGCTTCTGAACACTTTACATTACGGTTCTTTCTATTTGACATCAAATTTCTTAACTCCTTCTGGCTATCTTGTTCATTTAACTAGCCATTTGTTTTTTCATTCAGTGTTTCTGACCATCTGTACGTTACTCGGGAACTTCCTCATTGAAAATTTAGGTGACTTGGAGAGCTTCTCTGACATCCTCAATATTTCAGGAGCCCACCCACAGAGTCAGAACCAATGGAGAATGGCGAATTACTTGATAATTTGTCGGGCAATAAAGGCTTTAGCACTGAAGTCTCCAGGGGTACCACCAACACATACGAACACTGGCTAACTTGTCATTGCCAAATCATCAGGATGTGTGCATCTTCCACGCCTCAACACATGTAATGCCAGTAGAGTCCAGTCTTCCTGTAGCACAGCCTCATATACCCAAACCCGAAGTAACATCAATATCAGTCCAGAGAGAGGTTGCAGAGGCCTTGATACTTGGATTCTAGTCTGTGAAATGCCAGTACCATCACTAAACACCACAAACAGTCAAATCTGGGGTTGCAACTTATCAAAGTCGAAGAAGATCTCCTCAGAGTTGAAATCTGTCAGGAAACTATCTATTCTCAGAGAGTTTCAGCTACCACTGGAACAAATGGATACAACACAATCTGTGTGATAATTAATGGCAAATGTGTCATCAGCCATTGAAGTCAATGTGGGTACCTTGGCATCCATAGTGTTAACCCACTACTATCTAAGTGATCCCTCATATAGCTCTCATTGACGACCCCGTCAGCCATTAATAACTGTCTCACACTTCAGCAGTTACCAATCCTGAAATGACACTGCCAGGCTCAAATGAGCAGAGGCTTGGGTACTTTATAATAGAGAAAAGGATTAATTGCTGAAGTGTAATGAACCACTGTCACAGCTTGTAGAAGAAACATCTGACTCAAACCAACAAGGACTTGATGAAGGCCAAAAAGATTAGTAGATATTATGACATCCAGCTAGAAGTCAACCACCCTACTAGAGGAGCTAGTTTTGAGGCTTAAGGAGAAGAGATAACCCATTGTTTAGTTTGGTGCTTTACAAATAAATAAATAAAGGAAAAAATTAAATATTAACTGTTTAGTAACCAAAATGATAGTACAATCACATTAGACATATTTATTTTATTACATACCTGGACAACAATAAACATTCAAAATTTATAATTTATGAATATATTTATTTAAATATATTACGTATTGTTTAAGAAATTAGCTCATCAAAGGAGAAAAAGGAAGACAGGCAATTTTTTCTTGAACGGTACCCTACATCTATAATATAAATAACAAGAAATACTAAAGTTACGAATGCCATCCAAGAACAACGATAACAGTTCTGTATAACGAGAAAAGAATACGTATTTTTAATATTTCACTGGTATATGTTCTCCAGTCGCTCAGCGGTAAGTCTGAGGGCTTAGAACGCTAAATATCGAGTTTCGATGCCCGTTGTATAGCTTTCTGCTTAACATGAAAGAAGCAATAAAACAAACACTGGTGTATATATATATATTGATGTTGGCTATTCTAAAAAAGATAATATAAAAAATTTACATTTAATGAAATGTTTTATTCTTAAGACATAAACTATACATTTTGATACATGTGTGTAATATCGAAATATGTCAAGAAGTTCGGTCTGAGATAGCTTTTCTTTTGTAGGGGGCTTTGATATTACTCATGCGCATTAAGTGACTGTTATGATAATTGACTGCATAATGTCGAATAAGGTACACACTTTTCGAAAACTTTTTATTGTTTTTGAAATGTATAGTTACATTTTACTTTCGTTTCTTTTTTTTTCAGGACCAGTATTATGAAAGCCAACCATGCACCTTGTAAGTATTATTCAAAAAACTGAGAATTCGTGAACATTTGGTGTACACTGGTAGCCTAAAAAAGTATCTTAATTTTTAATAATAATGTGTCATTCCCCTTTCGTTGCTAACGGTGTTACTGTTAGGCCTTTAGGATCTCTAACTTTTAAATTATGATTTCATTATGCTGTTTTTTTTTAACCTGTTTTAGGTATGTAGGAAACCTAGACCCATCAGTTACAGAAGAGTTGATTCTAGCTCTCTTCGGACAAATTGGACCTGTCAGAGGATGTAAAATTATTCATGAGGTAAGTTAAAACAGTCTGAAGACTTGAACTTGAAAGTTGAAGTTGAATCAGTGGAGTGATTGCAATTTGCAAAAAAAGAAAGGGTAGATTAAAAATAATATTAAAATGTACAGAAATAGGCTAAACATTATCGTTATGTTAACTCAAATTACTGTTCTTGTTATAAGGTATATTATCTTATCTTTAAGCATCAGCTAATAAAATATTACTTTTATTTTTAGTTAGTGACAGGTTGTGCTTTGGTTAAAAATGTTTTGACTTCTTTGTACATGTTTTTTGTTTTATATATATATATATATATTTATATGGTTACACTGATTGCTCATGTGTCCATAAGTATTTACAGACTGATATTCTTATCTTGAGCAATTTTTTTTAATGTTTTTCTCTTGAGAGATGAATTGGTGTGTGGAAATTCTTGTTTTTTACATGAATAGCAGTAAAGAAATGTAAAATGTTGTGTACTTTTGTGTGAGTGCACAAAGAACTGGTAAGAGAAGATAGTTGTAACTTGTAGTATATTTTCACACATTTCCTACATCATCTAGATTACGTTTGGTCAGATTATGTTGACTTATGTGACTGGCTAGGTTTTGGTGTTGTAGCTTAAGTTAGGCTTGGTTAGTGTGTAGCTTACCTAATTGCAACAAACAATATTTAATGTTTCAAAATGGTTGTATGATAATCAACTTTCAGATTACTTTCATGATGGCCACGGAGTTATTTTAGTTTATTTGTGTACATGACAGATACGTATGTACCCTATCATAACTTTTTTTTGTGATTATGTGCAGTATTGTGGTCTTGTGTATATGACTGTAGTTCAACTAAGTTACATTAAGTCAGTAATATGTCATGTTCAAAATAGACATCTATATAGTAGAAATTATGTACTGGCAAAATGATGGTTGTGAAGTTGTTTTTTCAGTGTATATAACCTTGGCCTTGGAAAACATAACAAAAACAACTATTATTTCATAGGATTTCAGTCATTATTATGTAAGGCTTGGGTTTTTCTGCCTTTCTTATTACAGTATAAATAACTTACCCCAAAAAACAGCCATGTTTATGTTGAGAAAAATTGTAGGAAACTCAAACCAACTTTAAAATTTTCATGGCTATTTAACTGAGTGTAAACCTTATTTTTAATTCTAAAAACTGAAATGTTTCAAAACATGTTTCATGGTGTATGTAATTTATTGAGTCAAAAATATAATTTAGTCTTGTGAAATCTGTTTTCCAGTAGTCATCCAATGGGCTAACAAAGACACTTTTAACAATGTTAAGCATGATTATTATCATGTGAAAAATCTAATGATTGCCTTTGCAACCAGTCAAAATGAGAAGCTGCAGGCTCATTATCCTCATTTTCTGATACTTAGCTCGAAAGGGTATCACAAAACGGGCATGGAAAGTTAAACAATGATTTTAATCCAATTATAGTAATCGTACTGTACTTATAATTTTGAAATGAATGAATTTCACATACGTGTATTGATACTTAATAGTGATAATCTACAAATCTTCCATCTGAAATGTGTATTAGCAATTTTTCTAGTACCTTCTATGTTTTAGTAGTAAACATGCAACACAAACTAGAATGTTGCCAGTTTGTTAGCATTAGTTTTGAGCCCTGTGTATATAATCCGCCATTTGATGAGCTGTATATGATTCATATTCTTTGGTAAGAATTTAGGGTTATATATTTGATAATTAACACCACAAGATGTCAATATTCAATAAAGCATCATCCACAAACTTTTAACCACTGGCCTTAGAGGTAATTTAATTTCCTCTTTATCCTATTTGTTAATAAAATATGGGTTTATTTTAGTGCAGTGATGTTGAGATGTTCAGCTATGAGTAATGGTCACACTAGTTCAATGTATGTTTTTTAATTGAATAATGAATGTTTATCATAGCATATCTATAATTTGTAAAAGAACAATGTTCAACAACACTGATGATTCTACTTTAGATCACAAATGATTGATATTTTTCAGTAAATAAAGTATTTAATCATTACCAGATACATTTTTGCAAAAGTACTTACAAGCTTTAAAAAAATTCTTAAAACCACTGATAAGACCTACAACAGCATACTAACAACATATTGTGCAAAAAATCATACAAGTTGAAAACGTATTATATTTTGATTGTTATAACTCATAAATGCATACTTTCTAAAACCTTTCCTGAGTAGATTAACCTCATTAGATACATTTATATATATTAAGGATTGTACTATGTATGGATATAAAGTACTTAGCTTTACCTGTAATCAAAGACAGGGATCAAAATATTACATTCCTGCATTCTCAAGGAATTTAACTTTACTCGAGGAATTCCATCTTTTTAGTTGACTTTCCTGATCAGGAATGCATGTTCTATCCGAATTCCTTTAGTTATGACCAATGAAAATGAACATATTGTGTGGATTAGATAAAAATTCATGAGGGAATGCAGGGATAGAAATAATTAAATAAAATTATGTTCACTTGAGAGAAAGCTATCAGGAAGATTACATTCCATCATGTAAAGTTGCATTTTCTCATGAATTGTTTTTTTTACTTAATATATGAAATATGTTCACTTTCATTGTTCATAACTAAAGGAATATGGATGAACCATGCATTTCTGGTCAGAAAAGCCAACTAAAAAGATGAAATTCCTCATCAAAGTTAAATTCTTCGGGAATGCGGGAACATAATATTTGAATTCCTGGAATGTAATGTTCCTGATAACTTTCCCTTTATTTCAATATTTCTATCTCTATTTCTAAATGGTCTGTCAGCACAAGTATATTTGTTATTTCACATTGAAAAACTGTGTAAAAAAGGAAATAATGTGCTAATTTGTGTGTGTGTGTGGGGGGGGGGGGGAATTTCTTAGGTTAAAAAAATAAAAAACCGGGGAACAAAACCCCACACCACCAACCCTGGGGGG